CCTCATCCGCACAGCTGATTCCCCGATAAGAACTTTACGATCGCACGAAAGATAGGTTTCATGCTTTTTCGTCCTGAAGCTTCGTTTTTCACTGAAAGACAGGCTTTGAAGGCGGAGTCTGGAGGCGGAGTCACTGGAAAAAAGGAGGCGTCACTGAACCTATAGCGCTATAGCGCCCCTCCCTTACAATTTTTTGCCGCGAAACCGGTACAAGGTTGTTCGTCGCGGACCACACTACCCTCCCGACACCATATTTCCAACTTCTATACCTGATCGCGGACCGTGCCTTTAAAGGCACTGTCCGCGATAAATGAGGCCATGACTTCTTAAATGTGTCAAAAGATCCGGAAGGCGATTTTTGGAGGCTGCGCTACTTTGAAATGTGAAAAACGGCAAGAACTCCGCTAGAAGCTGACTAATTAGGCCCATGGACACCCCTTAGGCCCATGCCGACCCTCACTGGCTACTAGCTAGTAGCCACTATGCTACACGTCTTCATTCCATTCCGAAAGGTGAGAATGAGTTGATAATATAAAAGAGGAAACATCGCCATGATAAGGATGAGTGGAAATTCGTACAAACACGCGTTTTCTTCATTGCATACACGTACGCATGTAACTTCTCCCATTGAAGGCAAAGCCCGCGACCACAAGCCTACAGGATTGTGGGCTTTGCCTTTAATGATAGAAGTGCGGAGCTTGCTGGACGAGTTCTGCAGGCAGTCACTCCTGAAAAGGGCGCCCCATGCGATAGACATTCACAAGGTACGAAATCCCTAGCGCTCCATGCTTACACATATTTACAAGGTTCGACCTCTCAACACTCAATCGCTAGAACCAAGTTCAAGAAAGCATCGCTCCTTGGTCATTCCTATCACAAGTTTAGAACTACTTCTGCTATTTGAGGGCCTAGATTAAGCCCTATGGTGGGGTCAAAGCTCGCATTCGTATACTGTCCTAAGCAGCGAATTATCTGTTGAACGAAACAGAAAAAATGGAAAATTTTCTTTTTTTTCCACGAAATTCTGAATGTAATTACAATTCCATTTGCGTGTGGACCAATACAATATGCTCGCAAGGTTACGTGTGAGAGTTGCTTCACCTGCAGGTGAAGGTTCCCTTCTCTGAATCGCCAAATTTACATCTTGAAACCTCGCTACTTCTACTCCACTCATGGTTAGTCGCACTAGAAGCACATATGCGCTGTTCAACGTTTCTATGGAATGTGCCACGCACTCGCCTTTCATTCAAAAACAGTGACATTTACAGCAGTAATGATGTATGGATGTGGGCCTAATGTGGTGCAAAAATTCTTCCGAAGTGTTGGATTTCTTGTCGTATTTGAACAAAGGAATATGTACGTACTTTGTAGATTCATTTACACTGAATGAGTTTGTTTGTAAATCCCAATCTCGACGGAGACCGTGCTTCGCAACGAAGCACAAAAGTGATAGTAGTATTCAACTATCGCTGCCACTGCTCCTTTCATTATTATTGATACCTGCACATGCGACCTTCACACTTGCGTATTTCACACACATGCTTGATCCCAGACTGAGGTCCCAATATGTCAATTTCCGGCAATAAATTCTTACTTTCCAGTTGCCGAAACCTCAACGCAAGCTCAGTTCTTCAACAAGATTCTCAGATGAACTCCCTTCCGCAATCAACTATTTGGCAAAACAAGGAACTCTCCACAGCGTCGACAAAAGAGTTTACTCGCCCACTTTCAAAGACCGTTCGAAAACAAACAAGGATGTGAAACGCGTACTAAAGGTTGGTGACCATGTACGAAGATACCCCTATCAAACGTTTATCTATTGACAGCGACTCTGATTTCAGGTTTCACTGTCTTCAATATTTGCTGATTACATTCAAGACGCAGTTCATATAGCACTGGAAAGTCTGCATCTAAAATATTTCTCAGAACTCATAATCTCATTCCCTATCACTGAAACAATGGTACAAATTCCTTTCCAGTACATTTGGAATCTTTGTCTTGATCCCTTATCTCTAGAAAGGAATTGGATGTTTTTTAAGTGCTGCTTTTCAATGTAGCTTACGACGCGGATGTTGAGTAAAAGGGGGAACTTTCGCCCTAAGATGGAATTGTGCCATGCATGCTCTAGGCTCCAAGCTCAAATGAATATTCCGCGCTGAACATATGAGCTGAGTCACTCAGCTCATTACGCTCCTCCTCCTTGATATTCGAGAAAAGCTTGCTGAGATTACTTAAACTTGGTGTCTTTTTCTCTACACAGCGTTCGGTGACAGCTGTGACCTGGGACACCTCAACTTTGGTGTCTCACTCAAAAAGATCCCTGCGCCTCCCAAAAGCTCTTTCGACCACACCATACGCTTTTTAGTCTCTTTCTGCACTCTGGGAGTGACTACGTTGTGCTGAGCCCTACTATCATCAGCTGATCATCACAGACATCTGTGATAAGGCGAGATGACGGAAAGGCAAAAATTGGTGAAGTACTGCTAGAAAATAGACCGAGTGTTTGTACAGTTCCCAGCACCCCCCCCCCCACATCTTTCCGTCCGGATCTGTGATCTACAACACGACGGAAGGCATTTGCAAAATGTTACAGTCAAACAAGACTGCCTGAAGGCAGTTGGCACGGTAATTTGGTATGCGGCCTAGAATGCTAGCAGGGCCCTATATAGTAGGGAGAACGGCGAAAGCGAAGTGAAACGGTCAAAAACCTGCGAAGAAGGGCCTTCGCTGTTAACGACTAAAAAAGCAATTCAGGACGATGTTTCCCGTAGCATCTTTCAGATAACGCTGGCGTAGACCGGCCTGCCACGGATGTTACCATCTATTGAGAATGCTCAGCACTGCAGCGCTCTTCATGTATCTAATCCCTTCGCTTCCATATCTTAACCAGAAAATGAAGTAAAATACGATCACCAGGTAGGTCCTATTTGTGAGCGGGCGGCCAGCGCAGTGATGCGCTCGGGTCGGTATATTGTAGCTGCTCGAGCCTTATGAAGGACCTTCCACGAAAAGGCGCTAGTGCAGAGCTATAAGATGCGCGCGGCGCAGGGAATCTCCCGCCCGGCGTCTTAGTGCTACTCGTCCTAGGGATTTATCGTGCCAACTGCCTTTATGCATAAATTTTTCTTGAAAAGTGATGATAGAGGTTCTATTAGTAAGATGCTTGCTTCAACCGCAGGAGAAAGTCATAAGCGACTTCATCGAAAGGTGAAGTCTATCTTCGTGCGACTATTGACGACCAGCATTGAACTCGAATGTAAGTAAGCTAGAGGTGTTTCACTGGATTGTCGTAAATTGCCTGGGAACATTCGGCAATTCCCCGAGAAGCAGGCCAATGAAGCTGATTTTTCAATTCTGAGGGAGTGAAGCAAAAGCACCTTATACCGTCACAACCAAATCTCTATCCATTTTTAAGAATTGACGGAGAGTGAATGGATGCAGCATGTGCGACCGCTTTGGGCCACCGTTGAAGGCTTAGTCGATGACGGTATTGTTCACTCAGTTGGTGAGTTGTCACTGATTCTCTTTGAACGTTTTGTGGACACTAGGTATGTCGACTACCATTGGGGGCATTGAAACAACGGCAGTGAAACGCCGGCTCGGCCCAGATAACGGTCCATGCGACTTAACCTTTTTACAAGTACTTCTGTTGGACTTCCAGCGAGCATGGTGCCTGCAGTGGAGATTGCAGAGCTTGATGGCTTAGGCGGACCCATTCAGGTACCATGCAAAAGATGACTGATTCTTACTGGGGCTACGTTACTTCTTCTTACTGATTCTTCCTACGTTAATCTCTGCTTCTTTGGTTCTCAAGCAAAGGATAATAAAGGATGAAGTCCTGCCGTAGATGAATATATTTTGGGATAGGGCTACTTCCATTCAGAATCGTTGTGGCGTGTGGCTTCTACAGCGAATTGCGGGCCCTTCTGATGCACAGGCCACTTTTGTATTCCTAGACAAGTCTGCTACCAATTTGAAGTCCTCGGGAGAAAGTGGGCTTCGTAGGCCCATGCGGGAGTCGTCCCGGGAGTTACCAGTGGAACGCGCGTGGTAGGCGTGCGATTCGCACCTACACCACCTCCGACTGCAATACTGACGCTACAAGATTTGATTACCACGTTTAGCTGTTTATTGCGATATCAGTTTCGTTTCTTAAGTGCTCCGTCATGGATAATGTATAAAAATGGCGATCCGGTCCAGATTTCCATACTCGTTGCTGTTTGAATGACAGTAGATCAGTAGATAAAAAGTCTCGCAACTTTCCAGTAACCTTGTGACCCTTGTTGAACGATGTGCTAACGATAGTTGTTCAGGTGTCTCTGACCTCGAATTCCATCGCTTCCAGATGCTCTATGAAGGTGCAAAGCGACACAAACCAACAATATACCACTATAGTTTTGACGGCATGATCAATTGTGAGGTGAACCGTTTTTCCCTTACAGCTGAAAATTACCTGCTCACACAGCGGATGCCTGAGAGATGAAATCATCCCTATGTATGAGGGATAAAGGTTAGTAGCGCAGTCACCACCTATCTCCGCAGAAAAGCTCACCACCGAGCGCAGCGTCGTGTGCTTGCTATCGCTGAGCGATAACGCGGCCAAAAGGAAGCAAAAGCTAGCGTACCACTGCAGTATCGAGGCAATGAACTTTCTGGCACTTTGCCGATGAATGATAAACAGGAGAGGGAGAAGGACAAAATTACCGACTGCGGTTACCATTGCGCGCTCCGGCGCTACCAACTGTAGGTGATGATGGGCTGATAAAGAGCCGATCTT